ATAAATAAAGTGTAAAATAGATCAATATGGGTTGTTGAAAAAATCATGACTGACAAAAACTCCTTTAGGATCCCATGCATGTCAATCATTGCTCAAAATCGGGGGTGGGGGAGGAGCTTCCTCAGAGAAAAAGCTCAAGATGGCAGCCGGATCCCTCTTTTTTTTTGCATTCCGGCAAAGCTCTCATCGTGCAGTTGTGATACACAACCCCTGTGCACAAGCCCCTTCGTGGAAGCTTTACAAACAGGAAGAGGCTTGTCTCTGAACAAAGTGCATTAGTCCAACACTGCACTGTCATGCAAAACACACAACTAAAGATCTAGCAAAGCACCCACAACAGGAAGAGATACTTTCTAAAAATCCTCCCAAACATTTTCTTTAGTCTTTTTAGAGAAAATATGTTACATTCTAGCCTGGGAGTACACCCGTTGTTTGGGATTATTGGAAGGATTTAGTTAAGGGTTCTTATTATGCATGGCCCATTCATCTAAACAACAAAAAAAAGTAATTTTAATACCCCAATCAGTAAATGGTGTCTTTACCAAGAAATCTGATGCATAAAATCTCAAAGTACAGGATGATCCCAAAATGTCATCCAACTTTGCCGTGAAATACAATTCATTACATGGATTCCTTTAAAAAAAAAAAAAAACACCCTTCAATATTTAAAAGCCATTTTCCTTCCAAAGAAACCCAGGCAGAGTTTGTCTGAATTTTTTACAGACTTCATGCCTACAAATTACATTTAATTCCTTCAATTTGCTAATGGCCAATTGCTCATTTCTTTTTGGCACTCAGTTGAGAAATATGAAACGGTGGGTTTTTCTCAAGCAAGATGCCAGTTCAGCCTGCAAAGCAATCAGAATTAATCCAGAATTCTCTCTGAGCTGGGCTCTGAATTGTATCTTATCTGTTGTGCATACTTCTGCCTCTGAGTAATGCTTTGTGCCTCCAGTGGCCGGCCAGACATCCACAAGCAGGCAAGGAAAAGACCCCTTTCTTTACTATTTGTTTCTCAGAGGAATTTTGTTTCTAATTTAGGAACTTCTATTTATACATCATTAATAATATCCACTGCAGACGCTCTCTATCATCACATTTTGACACAGTACATTCCATAACTGAATTACGGATTGTGTTGTACATCTCTATGGGCAAAGACTTTCACGCAATGGGACTTGTGTCTGGTTTGAGAGAGAGAGAGAGAAAAAAACCTCTTCTGGACATCCCCAATGAACTTATCAGAGGCAACTCAATAAGTGAAAGTCTCAGCTGCTTCTTTATGAAGCAGTCTTGCAATTTCAGTCTATTGCTGTCAAAGAGTTCTGGGCATTTCCACAGGCTGAAACAGCTGGTAGCCAAGTCTGATGCTTTTGAAGTATAGTCACCTGATATATTTTTTTTACCCAAGACATTGCCTTGAACTTGACCCCCATCCAGTAGCAGCAGCAGCCTTTTATCTATGTGCTGGGAAGGGAGGAAGGGAGGAAGGAAGGAAGGAAGGGATGGAGGGAGGGAGGGAGGGAGGAAGGAAGGAAGGAAGGAAGGAAGGAAGGAAGGAAGGAAGGAAGGAAGGCAGGCAGGCAGGCAGGCAGGCAGGCAGGCAGGCAGGAAGGAAGGAAGGAAGGAAGGAAGGCAGGCATCAAAGGGCAAAGTCTGGCCAAAGAGCAGGACTTCAAGGTCCTTTGAAATCCCTCTGGGTTTAAATTCCAGAGGAACCCTCATTTTAGAGGGCATAAAATAGCAGGCAGACCCTGATACACTTTGGGAATTCTTTATTTATTTTGTTGACTTTTGGTAACCAATGTTTGCCAAAAAGAACTCCTATGGAAAAAGCTGGTGGGATTTTCTCTGAAATACTAGTTTTTAAAATGCAAGCAGACAGCAAGTATTAAATGTTGAAGCTGCGGGGGAAATCTTGGAGTTGAAGTCCAGACATCTTAAAGTAGCCAAGGTGGGGAAAAAAAATCACTGTTTTAAAGTAATGTAAGAAAGTTGAACTTCCATTAACTCACCTGATGTTTAGTTATGAAAGGGCTTGCATGCAAGGAAAATTGTCAGGAAGCAAGCAAGTCAAGGTAAAATTGATGTTTTTCTTTCTTTCAAAGAAAAATATTTTTTGTAAAGGAAGACTGGGCGCTCCAGCTACTGCCTGATTCTGCATCAAAGCCAACTGTGAGTTTAGGTGGCATCTAGAATCAGCTCATGTTCTGCTTAACGTTGGCTCTGCTCTTAGCCTAGGATTTGCCTTCAACATTTAGTATCATATTTCTCTCCAAAACATCATTTAAGCTGTTAAAACTAGGAAAAATCTGGAAAGAGGGCTTGGGTTATTTTTTTCTTTTGATAAATGCAAAATTTCCCCCCACCTCCCCCCCCCAAAAAAGAAAAGAAAACAACCTTGAGTTGCTAAAGTACAAGCAACCACGAAAGACAACAAGATTTACAAGATTCAGGGAGGGGACAGATTATTTAATCAGCAATGATTCATTTGGGAGGGGAAAAAAAAACCCAGAACATATTAAGGGTGGATGAAGAGAAGAAAAATTGCAGAACAAAAACAAGTGAGCTTTCTTTTTTAAGAAAAGAAAAAAGCATAAGTCTAACTGGAGACACAAACAACCCACAACTTATCCAAGCATCAGAGCAGTATTGAATGTGTGTCACACTCTGAATGTATATTTATATTTTAACGTTCTAAAATCAGTGTGGGAACAGTGCCCTGTGCTTTTTATTTGGGTTTTTTTTTATTGCCCCTTTTGGCTTAAAAGGAACCAAGAGAACTACTTGGTAGAGGCAATGACCAGGCTCAAATATTCTCCTAAAACTGTACCCCCTCGCCCAATAGTTCTGAGGTGGGTACATCAGAAGAGCTGCCCAGATGTTCCTCACATCTGGATGAGAATCAGATCCAAGCCAGTCTCTTTGCTACGTGGTGCTGTTTCTGCACTGTTTGTATCCCACAAGAGAGAGTGACATGGATGAAAATCAGGAAAACGCAAGCACCAAATAGGCGACATTTTGAAATTTTCCTGAGTAAATACAAGTATTAGGAAAAGCTCACCTACAAAAGTGCAACACACATGCGCACGCAACAGTACTGGTTTTTCTACTTCGCCAAACTGGAAAACAAAATGACGCAGATTTGCTACTGGTCTTCTGATACATCAAACTTTTAATTCTCCTTGTGGAGCTGATATTCACCTGCCTCATCCTATCCTACCCAGTGTAGTTTTCGATCAACGGTCCCCACAGAAGTTAACAGCAGAGGGCAGTGGAGGAACTCTTAGGATCCTAAGGAAAGGAGCATCTTTTTCCATCTGTGAAGGCCACATTCAGAAACCAGGAGAAATATTTTGCTAAAAGACTGACTCTCTCTCACAGCCTGCTGAGTGGCCCTGTGGCCAAACAGAAGATAATATCTCGTGCTTAAAAGATGCTAAAATGTGTTCTAAATAAGTTAAGTGCTTCATTTGGAATTAGTCTTGAACGAATATGGTTCACAGCCCATTTCTTTGATGCACTCAAAGTACGATCACACAATTCAGAATTCCTAGATTCAAGTATTTCATTCATTTCCCTGCTTTTTCTACAAACATTAATTAGAAATCATCAAACAATGAACTACAATGAACTAAATTAGAACAGAAAAAAAATGAAGTGCGGCATTAGATTTCTATATACCAGATGAATTTCCCATGGTTTCTATTTAAATCATTTTAATATAAAGTATTTGCTATGGTTTTTCCCAGTTGCAATGTATGGCTGTGAAAGTTGGACCATAAGAAAGGCTGAGCGCCAAAGAATTGAGGCCTTTGAACTATGGTGCTGGAGAAGACTCCTGCGAGTCCCCTGGACTGCAAGGTGATCAAACCGGTCAGTCCTAGAGGAGATCAACCCTGACTGCTCTTTAGAAGGCCAGATCCTGAAGTTGAAACTCAAGTACTTTGGCCACCTAATGAGAAGGAAGGACTCACTGGAGAAGGGCCTAATGCTGGGAAAGACTGAGGGGAAGAGAAGAAGGAGACGACAGAGAATGAGGTGGCTGGATGGAGTCACTGAAGCAGGAGGCGTGAACTTAAATGGACTCCAGAAAATGGTAGAGGACAGGAAGGCCTGGAGGAATGTTGTCCATGGGGTCGCAATGGGTTGGTCATGACTTCGCAACTAACAACAAAAATATAAAGTATTTAAATCATTTTAATAGGAAACATGGAAAATCCTCTTGTATATAGAAATCAAATGGTACTCTTCTTTCTTTTTCACTTTTTCATTTTTTTCTGTTCTAATTTAGTTTGTTCTTAACACTGCTAGTAAAATTTATTTCTAAATAAATAAACAGAATGTTCCCCTGAAAGAGCATCTTCATATATCTGAGATAATATGATAATATATCTACCTTGAGTGACTACTACCTTAAAAGTACTATTTATCAGGTGGGTAAAGAAAGGTTTTTATATATTCCTGTATTGCCATACATTACATATTTATATATTCCTGTATTGCCATGTTCATTACTATAAAAAAAAAATGCCAGCCATTGTTTATTGTGGTTCTGCAGAAATGCGGGCCACTAAGAGGTCACATTTAGTGGTTTTAATTTAAAAAACAATATTGTGAGCAGAGCAAGAACACAAGGGAATTGCAAGACGCAAGACATGTGTGCTTGTGTTTTAACATTTGACAAAGCAAAGTATTCTGTGGATGAGATGCTGGTGCTCCGAAAGCTGATCTCCACTTACTTCCCCAAGGAAATCAGACAAAAAGCAGAAGAGCAAAGAGAGAGAGTCAGGAAACAGGCAGTCTGATCAATGCAATCTCAAAGACCAGAAGAACTTTTTAAAAAAATAAAACAGAACCAAGTTGTCAAGTTGAGGAAGGAACGAAAGCAGAATTTAAAATATTCTGGAAGGAAATTAACATTCATTCAAGCAAACCCAATAATGGAAGAGGTTTTGTTTTTTTTTACCAAGGGGGTCAATTTGGGGACAGATACTTACTGTGCCAGGCCTAGGATATGGAATTCGCCCATCGTATTGAACCCAGCGGTGGTCCACGCTTTCTTTGTGGGCGTAATAGCCACTGAAAACTGCTCTGATGTCGGCCATACTGTAGACACAAACTGCTGAGCCCTTGAACACAGAACTGGAAAGGACACAGGCATATCATCAATCATGTTCAACAGACGCCTGAAAGCACCGCTCACTTCAAATACAGCTGACATAGGATGAGTGTCACTTTTTTTTTAATTCCTCAAAGAATAAATTATTAATGGTAGACAGGTTTGCTTGGAAAGCAGCTTATTAACCATCATTGGTTTTATTTTTTTTAACCCTGAAATTGCAACTGGAAGAGATGGCTGGAAATGTCCCACCAATGTTTGTCAGGAATAAATTAAGCAACATTCAAGTTGGATTTGTCCAATATATCTCGTTATTAAAGAAGTCCCTCAAAAGCTGCCTCTTTCCATTCAGGGAAATGAATTATGTCATATAGGGCCCAGAGGGGTTTCTAGAGAAAATGATGGATGTGAAGATGTTTTTGAAGGGTGAGAAGCATGAAAACATTATCTGAGCCATCCCAGTTCAAAATCTACACTTGGTTTCTCAAGTTCTCATGCCCGCTGAGAATTCATAAATTAAGATAAGGATATGTAACCATCGACCCTTATGCCAAATCTATGCAAAGAGTTTTCCTACACCAACTTTTTAAATTGTAATATAATTTTCTCAAAACGGTCTTCCACGAAAGACCTTTTTGAGCAGAAGTCTGACATGATACTTCACCAAGCACCGTCTCCACCAAACTTTTCATTTTTCCCAGGTACATATCAGAAGGCAGAACCTGGAAAACTCTTCTGAAGGCCTATAAAGATTGGATTTTATTCACACAGCCCTTTTTGAAAATACTTTCTGTTAAATCTTGCAGAACAGAAAAGGATAAGCTGTACAAGAACATCAAGGCTGCCTATTCGGATGTTATGCTACATTTTTTTCTCTCCCTCAAATGCAGAGCTCAGAACTGCATTTGAGCCCAAGAGGAACCTCAGAGAACATGAGTGGTCCAAGCCCACCCAGAAAGTCTCATGGCTGGGAACAGGATGGAAATGTTGATTCTCCAAAGCCAAGCCAACCCTCTCATCCCAAGACCAATTGGTTCTCCCTAGGTGGCACTGAGTAAGTCACCAACTGAGGGAGTCTTTGCAGCTCTCTGGGTTGGATTGTTTTCTTCCAGATGTTTCTTTACCCAAACTTGGTAACATCACCAGTGCTAGTGAAACATCTGCAAGAAAACAACCCAGCTCAGAGAGCACCAAGGACCCCACAGTCTTCTTCTTCTTCCTCCTCCTCCTCCTCCTCCTCCTCCTCCTCCTCCTCTTCTCTGCAAGTCCTTCTTCCTTCTAGACCAGACATGTCAAACTCACGACATCACGTGACATTGCGCGACGTATTGGAACTTTTTCCCCATGCCGGCAATGGGGTGGGCGTGGTTTTCTCATGAAGTGTCCGGCCCGCAGGCCGGCAGTTTGACACCCCTGTTCTAGACTGATGGTGTTACCTAGTTTGGGTAATGAAACGTCTGCAAGAAAACAACCCAGCTCAGAAAGCACCAAGGACCCCTCGTTTCAACCTTGAGCTACAAATATTCTCCTTTAAGTCACCCATTTTCTGCCTCTCCCCTCCTTCTAGAGCTCTTGTAAAAGTTAAAACAATCTTCTATATAAATAAAAATGTAAATGTTCGTTTGTTCAAAATCTTAAATCTCCGAAAGTTCTTCACCGATTGCTTTGAAATTTTGACACAACGTTGCATTCGAATACGCGCGTGTTTTTATATACCTACTATTATATAGATGTCACACCTGTGACAAGTAAAAACATGCTTTTTTTGAAAAACAGTGCCATCTGTTGGACGTAAAAACAACACACGCTACGATTTTACGATTCCATTTCAATGTTTCCAATTTACGATCCATTTACGATTTCCAATTTCCAATTCTTTCTTTTCCATTTAACCAGACTGAGCCACAGCAACGCATGGCCGGGTACAGCTAGTATTTATTATAATTCAATCCAGAGCCTAATATTTTTAGCATAATCCATCAAGGAAACTCTGAGGGTTTTTTTGTTTTGTTTTTTTTAAATTTCTTATACAGATTTGGATTTAAGGCTTGCAATATACCTGGTGGTTGTGAAAACACCATACACCATAGGATTCCTTTCATCTCTTGTGGAAAGCAGGAATATGTCTTCTGCAATGGATAACATTATTTTGAGTTCAGATTTTATGCACTTTGTTATATGCCATGTGATGTTAATATTTAAAAAAAAAAAACCAAAGCAGGCAGGCAGGCACATGTATACACTCAGACACACATATGCAACATCCATATTTTAGTTTATATGGTATTGTTTATTCCCAGGTGTACTATGTCTGTTTAAAATTACTAGATGACTTCAGTGGTAACTACCCCACAAATTGATAATGATTCATGCTTTGCGCATGGTTAAAAAATGTTTGTCTGCCCAAACTCTAAACGTGCTATTTTTTATGTCTGAAGATACTATAGACAAAAGTATATAAAAAAAAGTTGAGATGATTTAAACTTCCAGCAGTTTAACTGTTGTGCTCTGAAATGATATTTTATGATTCATCGTTACTTTAGTCTTGAAATCCTTTTTTTTTTCCTTTTCAGGACTGAAAAAGATGTAATTTAGCAAATAAACACAATGAGGTAACATATCACAACCTATTTTTTTTCTCTTTTTCCTCTACCTGAATAACCCATGAACCTTGATTCACTACCTAGCTGTTTCTATCCTTTATCATAGAAAAAAAAATGAAGAGATAATTTTTCTTCATATTCTTTTCTTCCTGCAAAAGCCTTGTGTGGTTTTCTACTCTTAAGTCAAATAAAACATTCATAAGAAGCAATCTAAAGTATATTTTCCATTATTATTTTTCATTAGAAAGTCAAACATATATTTCATTTGTTGAGATCTAGTATGTATAAAAGAATTCAAGAATTCTTGATCGGTATTCTATGTTAAAAAATCTGAACTCTTTATAAGTAATTTTATTTTGGAAACTACCACGAACCCTGGTGGTGCAGTGGCAGTACTGCAGGGCTACTTCTGCTGACTGCCAGCTGCCAGCAGTTTGGCAGTTTGATTCTCACCGGTTCAAGGTTGACTCGGTAAAATGAGGAGCCCGATTGTTGGGGGCAATATGCTGACTCTGTAAACCAGTGTTTCTCAACCTTGACAATTTTAAGGCATGTGGACTTCAACTCCCAGAATTCCACAGCCAGCATTGCTGGCTGTGGAATTCTGGGAGTTGAAGTCCACATGCCTTAAAATTGTCAAGGTTGAGAAACACTGCTGTAAACTGCTTAGAGAGGGCCATAAAGCACTGTGAAGCAGTATATAAGTCTAAGTGCTATTGCTATTGCTACCACAATAGCAAAAAATACAACTGCCCTTGCTACTTCTCCTAATATGAAACATTAATTGTACATTCTACCTTTTTGTCCAGATAAGTAGTTTGTTACTCAACTAGAAGCAGTTTCCAGGTAAGTTCTATTTAACAAGATTATTCTATGAACTCTGTTTTATTCTTTTCCCCCCCTCCAAAGTATGTAAGTATATGACTTCTCTTCCAAGGCAAATAGATCAGGTTTTTCTAAATTCACACTGCTGGCTTCACTGAACTCTGCACTCTACAGTTCCATGACTGAAGAAAAGAATCAGTTATAATTGAAATTCACTTACGGAGTTCATCAAAATATGTATCAGCTCCCTCGGGACCTGGGATGGAGCAAACCAGTCTTGCTTTCAAGAATGTCGTCCACTTGTTGATCAGACTGCGTTGACCTCCTATGTCATTCTAAAAAAGTGAGAAAAGTATACCTTTTTTTTAAAAAAGTTACTGGTTAATAGGAAGACTTAAGTCAGTGGTTCTCAACCTTTTTAATGCCGCGACCCCCAACCGGTCGTAAGTCGAGGACTAAACCAGTCGTAAGTCGAGGACTAAACCAGTCGTAAGTCGAGGACTACCCAACCGGTCGTAGGTCAAGGACTTTCCCTGCCCGGGAGCGCCACACATGCATGGTTCCACCCCCTGCGCCGGCCGAGGCGTAGCTGGCAAGCGGCAGAGACGGAGCAGGCCGACCACCAGCTGGCCCAGTTCAAGGGAGGTAAGGCACCCGCCGGAAAAGGGGGGAAAAAATGGCGGACAGCCTTGCTTGGCGACCCCCGTGAAATGGTCGATCGACCCCAAATGGGGTCGCGACCCATAGGTTGAGAACCGCTGACTTAAGTCATGTGAAGAGAGGGCCAAATTTGCAAATGGTCAGTCCATCTCAAAATGTACAGTGAAGGAGAGTTCCCAGTAGAATGTTTCTCAAACTCAGTAACTTTAAAATCTGTGGATTTCAACTCCCAGAATCCCTAGGTAACCACGATGGCTGGGGAATTCTGGGACTTCAAGTCCATACATCTTAAAGTTGCTGAAGTTAAGAAGCACTGCAGTCTGTTCCAGGGTTGACCAGCTCTTCCTGACGTCCAACCAAAATCTTCCTTGGAATTTTAAGTCATAATTTCTTGTTCTATCTCTTCAACTATTCCAGTGGTGGCGAACCTATGGCACGCGTGCCAGAGGTGGCACTCAGAGCCCTCTCTGTGGGCACGTGCACTGCCGCCGCCAGCAGCTCGCACAGGTTGAGTGAGCTAGGGGAACAGGCTCCATGCATGGGCCAAGGGCAAGATCTGCGAGGGGGCCAAGATGACCAGCAGCGATCTGCTCTCCAACCGCAAGCAAAAACAGATGGGACGGGTAAGCGCATCCAGCTGTCTGCATCACGTGCCCTACACCACCTGCTGCTGGAGGGCTGGCCCGGTATTGGCAGTGGGCTGCGGAGCTCCAGAGTGCGCCAGTCAAGGGGCCAGCAGGGTGTGGCTGCTGATGGACACTGTCGGCCCCCATGAGCTCACTGGCATCTGTGTGCGGGGGCCGATGGTGTCAGGCAGCAGTCACCCAGGCCCCTGTCTCACCTTGCCCCATGGCAAAGGTACCCCTGCCCTGCCCTCTGCCTCACCCCGCAAGACGAGCCTCTTGCCCACCGCCTCACCCACCAGACAACCTCTGGATCTCCCCCAACCCTGCCCGGCCCCCACAGGTATCCCCCCACGAGCAACATTGAGGTGGCTATGACCACCCACCATGCCCACCCAGTGGGCCATGCCCCCCGCCCCCGAGGGCACCACAATGTCGATGCAATCCTGGCACTTTGCAATAAATAAGTGGGTTCTGGGTTGCGGTTTGGGCACTCGGTCTCTAAAAGGTTCACCATCACTGAACTATTCTGTCCCATCTTCTACATGTGGTGGTATCATACAAAATTTAACAATTTTCCAGTTGACTCAAAAGAACATGACTTTATTTCTTGGCATTTTGCCCCAAAAATTCAACAATATGATTTTTTTTGGGGGGGGGGGACTACAAAAAAAGAAGTTGGGAGTTGCAAGTTGTTATTGAAAGGCCAATGTTCATGAGGGCTTACAAACAAACAGGTCCAGTTCAAGAGGTTTTAGATGTTACTGGACTACTCAGAAACATCTGGTTATGCTGACGTGAAGGTGGGACTTGGAAACATCTGGAAAGCTCTCCGTCGGTGATGCTATAATCTATATAAAGCTATTCTTGGCAACCCAGCAGCAGCTCTTATCTTTTCACATATTCTAAAGAACAGCACATTAGTAATGAAGACCCAACTAGGCTATTATGTCCCCATGTTCATTTTTTTAAAACTACTTCCTCCCCTTTTTAAAACTGTATTTACACCATGGGCAGCTGATGAAAATCAAAAAGTCCTGACTGATCCTCCTTGGAATGCACAGATATAATTTGGCTGATGAAGAGATAAACTTCATTTGTGCACCTTTCATAAAATGCAGGAAGTTGTTCCTTTAAATAGTTGAAGTCCACATGCCTTAAAATTGTCAAGGTTGAGAAACACTTAGCTGAAACAGGGGAGTCCAAGATTTTGACTCTCCATTTAGTCTCCTTAGTCTCCAGTTGGATCAATTACGACCACAATGAATTTGTTAGCCTTTTAGGTCTCAAAGACTTGCCATGTGCCTTGCTGCATTTCTGGAACCTTCTTTTCACTACAAATAACAATTTTATTAGCACCCACCACTTATTAAACTCTTCCACTGTAACAGTATACTTCGCCTTGAAGTGCCTTGCTTGGCAGCACAAGGAAATAGCAATAAAATCTCTGTTTATCTTTGCACTTGGATCGTAGAAACCTACATAAAGATTGNAGCTCTCTGGGTTGGATTGTTTTCTTCCAGATGTTTCTTTACCCAAACTTGGTAACATCACCAGTGCTAGTGAAACATCTGCAAGAAAACAACCCAGCTCAGAGAGCACCAAGGACCCCACAGTCTTCTTCTTCCTCCTCCTCCTCCTCCTCCTCCTCCTCCTCCTCCTCCTCTTCTCTGCAAGTCCTTCTTCCTTCTAGACCAGACATGTCAAACTCACGACATCACGTGACATTGCGTGACGTATTGGAACTTTTTCCCCATGCCGGCAATGGGGTGGGCGTGGTTTCCTCATGACGTGTCCGGCCCGCAGGCCGGCAGTTTGACACCCCTGTTCTAGACTGATGGTGTTACCTAGTTTGGGTAATGAAACTTCTGCAAGAAAACAACCCAGCTCAGAAAGCACCAAGGACCCCTCATTTCAACCTTGAGCTATAAATATTCTCCTTTAAGTCACCCATTTTCTGCCTCTCCCCTCCTTCTAGAGCTCTTGTAAAAGTTAAAACAATCTTCTATATAAATAAAAATGTAAATGTTCGTTTGTTCAACATCTTAAATCTCCGAAAGTTCTTCACCGATTGCTTTGAAATTTTGACACAACATTGCATTCGAATACGCGCGTGTTTTTATATACCTACTATTATATAGATGTCACACCTGTGACAGGTAAAATATGCTTTTTTTGAAAAACAGTGACATCTGTTGGATGTAAAAGCAACACACACTACGATTTTACAATTCTATTTCAATGTTTCCGATTTACAATCCATTTACGATTTTCAAATTTCCAATCCTTTTTTTTCCCATTTAATCAGACTGAGCCACAGCAATGCGTGGCCGGGTACAGCTAGTATTTATTATAATTCAATCTAGAGCCTAATATTTTTAGCATAATCCATCAAGGAAACTCTGAGGGTTGTTGTTGTTTTTTTAAAATTTCTTATACAGATTTGGATTTAAGGCTTGAAATATACCTGGTGGTTGTGAAAACACCATACACCATAGGATTCCTTTCATCTCTTGTGGAAAGCAGGAATATGTCTTCTGCAAAGGATAACATTATTTTGAGTTCAGATTTTATGCACTTTGTTATATGCCATGTGATGTTAATATTTAAAAAAAAAACAAAGCAGGCAGGCAGGCACATGTACACACTCAGACACACATATGCAACATCCATATTTTAGTTTATATGGTATTGTTTATTCCCAGGTGTACTATGTCTGTTTAAAATTACTAGATGACTTCAGTGGTAACTACCCCACGAATTGATAATGATTCATGCTTTGCGCATGGTTAAAAAATGTTTGTCTGCCCAAACTCTAAACGTGCTATTTTTTATGTTTGAAGATACTATAGACAAAAGTGTAAAATTTCAAAAAGTTGAGATGATTTAAACTTCCAGCAGTTTAACTGTTGTGCTCTGAAATGATATTTTATGATTCATCGTTACTTTAGTCTTGAAATCTTTTTTTTTCCTTTTCAGGACTGAAAAAGATGTAATTTAGCAAATAAACACAATGAGGTAACATATCACAACTTATTTTTTTCCTCTTTTTCCTCTACCTGAATAACCCATGAACCTGGATTCACTACCTAGCTGTTTCTAACCTTTATCATAGAAAAAAAAATGAAGAGATAATTTTTCTTCATATTCTTTTCTTCCTCCTTCCTTGTGTGGTTTTTCTACTCTTAAGTCAAATAAAACATTCATAAGAAGCAATCTAAAGTATATTTTCCATTATTATTTTTCATTAGAAAGTCAAACATATATTTCATTTGTTGAGATCTAGCATGTATAAAAGAATTCAAGAATTCTTGATCGGTATTCTATGTTAAAAAAATCTGAACTCTTTATAAGTAATTTTATTTTGGAAGCTACCACGAACCCTGGTGGCGCAGTGGCAGTACTGCAGGGCTACTTCTGCTGACTGCCAGCTGCCAGCAGTTTGGCAGTTCGATTCTTACCGGTTCAAGGTTGACTCGGTAAAATGAGGAGCCCGATTGTTGGGGGCAATATGCTGACTCTGTAAACTGCTTAGAGAGGGCCATAAAGCACTGTGAAGCAGTATATAAGTCTAAGTGCTATTGCTACCACAATAGCAAAAATACAACTGCCCTTGCTACTTCTCCTAATATGAAACATTAATTGTACATTCTACCTTTTTGTCCAGATAAGTAGTTTGTTACTCAACTAGAAGCAGTTTCCAGGTAAGTTCTATTTAACAAGATTATTCTATGAACTCTGTTTTATTCTTTTTTCCCCCTCCAAAGTATGTAAGTATATGACTTCTCTTCCAAGGCAAATAGATCAGGTTTTTCTAAATTCACACTGCTGGCTTCACTGAACTCTGCACTCTACAGTTTCATGACTGAAGAAAAGAATCAGTTACAACTGAAATTCACTTACGAAGTTCATCAAAATATGTATCAGCTCCTTCGGGACCTGGGATGGAGCAAACCAACCTTGCTTTCAAGAATGTTGTCCACTTGTTGATCAGACTGCGTTGACCTCCTATGTCATTCTAAAAAAGTGAGAAAAGTATAACTTTTT